CCATCCCGGAGCGGCTTCCCCAGGCGCCCCCCCCCAGCGCAGCGCGGGGACGCGACGGCAGCCGAGGCCGCACACGAAGCACAACACCCGTATTCTGTAAGAAAAGTCAGTATATTTATGGTTTGCTTTATAAAAGTTACTATAATACAATGGTACATAGTATTCAATTCACAAAAATATGAACAAATATATACAGCATGACACATTCACAACAAAAACACTTTCTTCAAAACAAGGTACATACTGGTGACAGGTTCTATATGCACAAAACATCCCTAAATTTATAAATTTGCTTAACAAAAGAAAAAGCAGAAATCCCAAATCTTCAAAGCAGAGATTTTTTTTTAAGGAACTTAAAAAAAAAAAAAGAAAGAAAATATTTTTTATTCATTGCAAACCATTTTACGTGCCTCCTTTTAAAGGAGGCCCTTTATTTTCACACTGTGAATTAAAACAACCTGTTTACAGAATTGGGAGCTGCACGGATCGGGAGCAGGATGTTCTGTGATTTTGCTTTTAAAAGCGCCCATTCGAAAGTGTCCTTTAGAACGTGCTTCTTTTCACCTGGATGAATACTACAGTGGCAATTAAGGAGGAAATTTATAAAAACAAAACAAAAATATTAAATTGAAAAAAAATCCAGTTGCAGACCTGCTTAAATACATTTTAGGCTGTCTATTAGACTATACACATTTCCTCGCTTGAAATAAATAGATTTTGCACATTAGGTTTCAGACTAAGGGAGGGGGGGAGAGAAAGAAGCCTGACTTGGCAATTTTGTCTTCAGTTTCTTAATGCTTCTAATTTCATCTATTTATTTGACAAAAAAAAAAAAGAAAAAAATTTGTACAGAATTTACATTATACAAAGCTTGACACAAGCTGTAAATGCCACCAGCCCTTTGCTAGACTAGTCCTTCCTTCCTCCCCACCTTCTTGACACGAGTTAGAGCTGGGATCTGTTTAAAAAGAACTCCAAATTACAATAGTCACTTTTAATAAATTATTTACATGCTCTTGAAGTACAAAGAAATCAGCAAAAAAATTTCAACATGTTTCTACAAGAAACAGTGTTTGAAGAGAAGATTCTTGAGTTTGCCTATGTACAGAAGATGCATTTTTTATACTTCAAAATCCTTTTTTCCTTAAATTTTTTTTTTATACAGAAATGCACTGAAATGATCCCTGAAAAAGGTCACAAAAACCGGAACCGAAGCTACTGCGTCCTTTGCTGGAGTTTAACCATGTGTTTTCTGGTAAAAACGAGCTGCTCTCTGCGCTACGAATCCCTGCGGGCGCCGGGTGCTGCCCCAAGGCACCGTCGCCTCCCGGAGCCGGCTCCTTCCTACCGGGAAAGCCCAGAGGGAAGCGACGTTCCCAAGGCTCCCGCGCCGGCCCCGGCAGCGCAGCCGAGGGCTCCGCTCCCTTTTGGGGTTTCAGTTTGCAATTTGAGCCAAAGCCGACGAGGGAGCCGCGTGGAGGGCCCGGAGCCGCACGGGGGGAGCCAACGGGCAGGGGCTGCCAATGCCC